CGGCGTTCTGCGTTCTGCAGCGCCGCGGCGCAGCTGAAGGCGCGCCGGGGCACGAGCACCCAGCATGCCTTCCACGGGTCCAGTCTCGGCGCCTTGGCGTCGATCGCTCGCGACGGTTTCGTGTCGACCAACACGGTGCGCAACGCGGCCCAGTTTGGCAAGGGCATCTACCTCTCGCCCGTTGGCTCGGGCGGCAGGGCCGGCATGATGGCCGCTTCGCCTCAGTACGCCTCGAGAGACGCCGATCGGGTGCAGCACGTCCTCTTTTGCGAGGTGGCCACCGGCGAGCCCGAGCAGGCGAGCCACTAGAATCAGAACGCACCAGCCCAGACCGTGTTAGGGTTTTGGCGTGTTAGTATGGCGCCCGTCCGCGCCGGCCAGAGCCGACGCAGTCTCCAAGGGACGGCTGGTCACCGCAATCAAGACGTCACCCCTTAGGTGCGCGACGGCGGCTGCGCGGGCTCCGACCAGGACAAGCCGTCTTCGGAGCACGTCGACACGGGGGTGGACACGCTCGTCAAAAGGACGGATGGCACCGTCGACTACACCAAGGCCGTCCGGCTGGTCGTTTGGACCAATAAAATGAATGAGTTCATCCTGCCCGTGGCCGTCGTGAGCTTCCGGATCGACAGCGCTTTCGAGGAGGAGGACGACGACGGGGACGAGGAGACGGAGACGGAGGACGAGGAGGGGGAGGATGGCGACCTATATGACTAGGTGCGAGTGGCAGTGCGCGGGTGCGCGCCAGGAGAGGAGACGGGAGAGCCCCTAGCAGGGAGGGGGGTTGGAGCAATTTTTCCGGTTGCTTTTCTTTGTTCTACTCGAGTACTCGTCGCCGCGAATGTGGTTGCCCAGGCTAACTCAGGACACGATCCTCCCGGTAGGGGGTGCGGTGCGTACCAAAATCCAGCAGTGCACAGAGGCTAGCGAACGCGCGCTTCCTGATCTCTACAGCTCTACAGCGCTCTACACTCTACATCCTCTACACCCTCCCTCAGCGCCGACGCCGCTCTGATTCGACTTTTAACTTCAAACAAAGACAGTGGCACGCGCCGCAGCGCGGTGCATGCCACTGTCAGGAGCGGATCCGTCAGTTAGTCGTGTTCACGCCGGGATCGTGCCCTGAGTCACTGCCCAGACTTTCGGCTTGGACACAGCAGAAGGTTCACGGCCTGAGCTTCGCATCGCACGTGCGAGAGGCTCACCGCAGTCTGCGCTCTCTACTCCTGCCACGCCTCCGATCATCCCGATGCATCCAAAGGGAGCCAAGCGCTCGGCACCCGACGGCGACCAGAGCACCGCGGGCTCCGACGGTCTGTCCGCCGTCAGGGTCGAGCCAAAGGCGCTCAACCGAAAGCCACCGTGCGACCAGATCCCGTTCCCGGACACGCTCCGGTCCACGCTCGCGGCCGGAGTGCCGGCGGCAAGGCACGCGCAGCCCGGCGGTGGTGCGACTCCGTCCCTCGAGGCGGGCGGCAAGTTCAGCGGGACGGCGGGCGCAGCCTCTGAGGGCGGCGGCGGCGCCTGCAGCTCGCACGGCAGCGCCGCCGGCCACGGCGCTGGCGTCAACGGCGGCGTCAATGGCGGCACCAACCTCGGCAAGCGCGCCAACCTCAGCAAAGGCAGCAACGGCATCGGCAAGGGTGTGGAGTCGGCCTTGGCGGCGCGGCCCACGTCCGAAGAGGCGTGTCCTCCCTGCCGTCGCCCTGCGGCTCCGCCCGCCACACCGCTTCCCCTCACTCCCGTCACCCTCGCCGCCGCCTGTTCTGCCGCCGCGGCGCGCTCGTGCCGGCGTGACTCAACCTCGGCACTTCCGTGACATGTCCCCAGGCCGGCCACGACTCCTCCGGCGGCGCAAACGGCGCGAGCGACGCGAGCGACGCAAACGGCGCAAACGGCGCAAACGGCGCAAACGGCGCAAACGGCGCAAACGGCACACATGGAGCTCACGGCACAAACGGTGTGGAGAGTGAGGAGGGCACAGATGGCGGCGGCGGTGGCGGCGGCGGCGGTGGCGGCGGCGGCGGGGGGGGGGGGGCGGCCCGACCACCCGCGCCGCAACGGGAGGGGGCCATCAACGCCGAGGGTCACATGGGGGCAATGGCGGAGCCGGGGCTGCCCGGCGAGGCGGCCCTGGACATGGAGGTGCCTGGTAACCGGGAGGAGGGGGCCGTGGGTCCGGGGCACCGCCTCTGTGGCTGACTTGGCAGCTGTCTCTTTTAAGCGGCGGCGGGCGGCCCGGCCGACGGGCGGGCGGACAGAGGCGGCCCCCCAGCCCCTTGCGGGGGGAAGCGCGGCAAGGGCGGCGGGAGCTCCACCAGGGGCTCACCTCCGTCGCGGCTGGTCAGGCGGCCCAGAAACTACAGATCCGTGTGTTCTGACTAGCACTCGAGAGGGTGATACACACAGGCTGGTGTGCACCACCACCCCGTGTGCTCACACGGTGCTCTGAGTGGCACGACACCGACCTCCCGCCCTCGCTCCCCGGTGTGGCTTTGCGCCAGGTCAAACGGCGTGTCGGGACTCCGAAGAGCGAGTTTGGAGTCGAGGCTTGCTGCCCTCTAGATGCGGAAGACGGACCCTTGCCCTTCCGCCAGCACTCGAGATGGGCACGGATCGCCTCGGCTCCAGCTGAACTCACCGTGTTCATAGCCCGTGCATCCACGCAACGAGATGCTCCACGCAACGAGATGCTCCCGACACACGGCACGGCCCCGTGCTCACCTCCTGACAGTCAGCGGACACATGACGCAGGCGCTCGGCAGCTACGCGGGCGTGGTGACGCGGGCGAGCGGGATGCACGTCCAGGTCCTCTTTGACGAGGACCAGCAGCGGTACTGGTTCCCGGCCGACCGTGTGCAGCACTGGCTCGTGTCGCTAGACGCCGGAGACGGACCTACAGCCCCGCCCTTCCAAGACGCGGACTCGCCGCTGTTCGACTGCATTGCAGCCGCACTCGCTGTACTCGCCGCCGTTGGGATCACGTGGGGTAGCGGGTGTGCTGTGCTCACACAGGTCACTGCCTCGCCCCCGTGTGCACACACTAGGCTCCTCTCGCCACTCGGCGCAGAGACAGAGCTGCCGCCGCCGCCGCCGCCCTCCAAGCCCTGCCAGAAGAGGAAGGGGCGGCCGTCGCCAGCAGGGTGGCCGAGCGGCGGCGGCGGTGGCGGCGGCGGGTTGGCGGCGGGTGGCGATGGCGCGGCGGCGGACGGCGACGGCGGCGGCGATGGCGATGGCGACGGCGACGGCGACGGCGACGGCGAGTTCACTATTGAGGAGTTCTCCACGCGCGATGAGCTGCTGCTGCATGGGGCTCCGGCGCGCCAGTGAGCGCGTGCGCGAGCGATGCTTGAGAGCGCATATCGAGGGCGCGGGCAGCACATCCGTGGACGACCCTCCCTTCACCCCCAGCTTTGTCCCTCAGTCCATGCAGCCACACAATCACGCTCTCTACTCGCCCGGGGGCGCGCGGAAAGATGCGGCTGCAGCATCCGCGCCATCCGCCAAATTTTTCGATCAGCACCCAGACGCTTCTCGTTCATGCATCATGGGGGCGCGGTCTCGCCTCTAGCGTGTTATGTGCCCCGTGAGCCGTGTTGTGCGAGGGAGTTTTGTTCTAAAATTCTTTGTACGGATCGTATTCGTAATAAATTACGGTGATCGGTGTAGACTGGTATAATAGTCGGTGCACGACTCCACGCACGATAGTCGATATATGAAAAAGGACAGCCGTCACACCGCGCCGGTCGACGACATCCGTGACCGCGGCCAGCCATGTTCATCATCTCATCAGGATAGGTGGTCGGCCCTCGGCCAGTACGTGCCCGCTCTCCATCAGTGAGGACTCCTGGCGGCCGCGCCCTCAGGCGCCGCTCGAGGCGGCCGCCGCCGACCTCTCTGCTGCCAGCGCCCTCTCCACCCAGGCCGGCCGTGGCTCAGAAGGGCGGCGGGCCGCCCCCAGCGCCTCGGCGCGCAGGAGGTCGAGCCCCTCGAGCGCGCCGCTCATGCGCAGCACGTCCTCGTGCAGCCGGACAGTGGCCGCCTGCAGCTGCTCCGAGACGCGGCTGCTCCACCTGCGCCGTGAACGCGCCAGACAGTGAGGGCGAGAGAAGACGGTCTCGTGCGGTGGAGTCGGAGCACCGCGCGAGCACAACCGGCTACGGGTGCAGCGAATACCACCCAGTGCAGTTGAATACGTGTCTTCTCAAGTGCTTTCACGGGATGCCTGTGTCCCGCATCTACGCTGCTCCCACCGTGCGCCTCCTCTGCGCAGTGCCGCTGGGCCGCACACGACGGCCGAAGCTACGCCTCGTGCGGGTGGCCGCAGCTGTGAGTACGGCGGGATGCCGTCGTGCCCACCCGTCGAGCTCCACGGCAGAGCCGCGATGGGCAGCAGCGCGTCCAGGCGGTACTTGCCTGGCGTGCCCACCGGCGCCGGCAGTGATCCGTCGAGCCTCCAGCCCCAGCAGCGAAGGATGGCGCGCGGCGCGTCGAGCATCGCGCACTCGTCCGAGAGGCGGTGTCGCCCGTGCACCACCACTGCTCCGATGGAGTGGCACGCGTAGAGCGGCGATCCTGTCGTGACTTCGCCGACGGCGTAGTTCGTTGTGCCGTCGTAGATGGAGCGGAAGGATCCGTCGTCACGCGCCGCGACAACCTTGTAGTACAATTTGGCGTGGTGCGGAACGCGGCGTCGAGCCCTACCCTCAACATTAGTGGACATTGCCGGGCCATTGAATGCACAGGGTTGGAGCTTTTTGCCGGTATGGTACCAATGAAATGAACTCGGGACCATGGCCGGAGTTAGAAAACCCGACTCCCTGCACGACACTGGGCACGGGACTGGCGCGCACTGGCACTAACACAGGTACACCACGGGAGCCGCCTAAGCGACTCCTGCGAGGACGGCGAGGCACTTAGCTCCGTGCACTCGCCCGCCCTCGCCGCAGGGGCAAGCTCATTCACAATCTACTCTGCGATGGCACGGTGTGAAGAATGACACTGAGATACTGGAGTTAGAATTCAACGAAGCCCCGGCACCCAAGCCCTAACTCCGTTGAAGCTTTGCACTTGCCGTTTTCGTGCCGCTCCTCCTCTTCTCCCATTCGCAGCCCTAGTGCGGACGGTTTTTTTGCGGTATCTTGATGTATCTCTGCAATATCTGACCGTATCTCCCCGTATCTCCTTGCATCTCATCGCATCTCCCCGTATCTCCCCGTATCTGCCCGTATCGGTGCCCGTATCCGCCCGTATCTCGCATCTCCCGGTATCTCCCGGTATCTCCCGGTACCTCCCGGTATCTCCCGGTATCTCCCGGTATCCCGCCATATCCCGCCATATCCCACCGCGGATACCGCGAAAAAAACCGTCCACACCAGGGATATTCGCAGAGCCGCCCGCCCGCTTTCACTTCCACTCGAGGACCGGTGACGCGGCTCCGAGCCCTCCTGTACTCTGACCGGTTAATTAGGGAGGGGGGGGCGGTCGGGTGTCAGACCTAGCGCTAGGCGTGCGAGTGACGTATTTTGGACAATCCATTGGTTTTAGTATTTAGACAGAACATGTGAACTTTTACGTGCGTCCCAAATGCGCGTTTGCGGCTTGCCTGTGCTCTCGGCCGCCTCGCTGAGCGAGACCGAGCGCGGTGCTGGTGGCGCCGACACTGCGGATCCGTCGAGCACTGCGACGGCTGCTGAACCAATGAGAGTCGGCAGCGCTGCCTCTGCGGCTGGTGCGCCTGCACAAACCACGCCAAGCGACTGCAAACTGGGCGCAAACTTGTCTGGCAATGCTCTGGGCGAGGATGTCAATGAGGAAACCACTCGAGGCCTTCAGCTTGATCCTGCCACGACGGCTCGCACCGCAAACGTGGGTCCTGCACCTCCTCGCGGTGCTGACATCTCTGTCCTGCGCCATATTGACGCCAATAACTTTCATTTCAACATGCTCAACGAGGCGGGCGCAGCTGCGGCGCAGACTCCCAACGAGGTGGTTCCCACTTCTTCATCGCCAACCTCTCCCTCGCCTACACCCCCCGAGGCATCAACCGCTCGGTCCGCCGACCATCGAGCCGCTTGGGAGGGCGAGGCGTCTGCCACTGAGCTAGACGCGAGTGAGGAGGAGGAGGAGGAGGTGCATCCCTCCCGCAGAGAGAAGCCGGTGCGGTCCGAGGCGGCCAAGCAGCGGCGCCACAGACTGCAGGCCGTTAGGCGGCGGCTGCGGGTTGAGGGGCTGAGCATCGGCGCCAGCGGCGGAGGCGGAGACGAGGAGGGGAGCGGCGGCGGGGGGGCGGCAAGCAGCAGCGACGGCGCCAGCGCCAACCTAAACTCCGAGGTTCTGGCGCTGAGGCGGGCGCTGGCGGACCGCGAGGCGGTGCTAAAGCTGACGCGTAAGCAGCTGAGGCGGCAGACGAAAACGTCGAAGGCGCGCCACGCGCAGCTGGCGCGGAAAGACTCGAAGGCGGCGAAAAAGGCGGTCAAGCAACAGAAGGCGAAGGTGGCGCGCGACATCGCTGGCGCGGCGCGGCGGGAGCGGCGGCGCAAGTGGAAGGGCGCGGTGGCTCCAAAGGGCGAGAGCGTGCACTCCTCGGACGCAAAGCGGCGGCGGCTGCTCGAGAAGGGCGTCGAGATTGCGTCTGGGGCCTCGAGCTCTTCCCAGCCGACTATGCGGATGGCAGCCGCGGGGCGGGAGGCTGCGGAGGCGCTGGCGGCCCCCACACGCGGCAGCGGGCGCAGCAGGGGCAGCGAGGGCGGCGGCGGCGGCCGGAACGCGGGGCAGTGCTGGCTCTTTGCCTCGACCGGCCAGTGCCGATACGGCGGTCACTGCAAGTTCGCGCACGGCACTGGCGACGGCGGCGGCGGCGGCAGCGGCGGTGGAGGCGGCGGAGGCGGCGGAAGCGGCGGCGGCGGAGGCGGCGGCGGCGGCGGCGGCGGCGGCGGCGGCGGAAAAGGCGTGTGCCGGTACTTCGCGATGAACGGCCGCTGCCAATATGGCGGCGGGTGCAGATTCTCACATGTTACGGGTGGCGGCAGCGGCAGCGGCGACGGCGACGGCGGCGACGGCGGCGGTGTGGCGGCGGCGGCGTTCGCGGCGGCGTGGCTGCGGAATGAGCTAGGCTAAGGTCACCATCCTCTCCGGCTACGACAAGGTGTACGAGACGTCACCATCCTCTCCGGCTACGACAATGTGAACGTGATCTGTACATGGGCGGCGTCCTCCTCCTCAAGTCCCTTTGCGTCTTTGCGACCGCGCCAGCGACCCACCGCCGACTGGGTGGGCCAGCCGCGCGGGATATAAATGCGAAATCTCTACGGTGGCTTTGAGCTGCTAGTGGCGCTAGGGGACTGACCCAAAGGTCGCGCCCCCCTCGTGGCGCGGTCGGGCTTTCCACCCTCGTGGGAAGCCTACCTTTGCCCCTAGCAATGCTGCGAGACCGGAATTTCGGCAGAAGCCCTACAGGGACATGCCGAGGGACGCCGTCGCGGCCCAGCTCCATCCTGGGTGGGGCGGGCGGGCGCGTACGAGACGCGCCACCATCGTGGCAGTGACACGTGCGCGTCGAGGAGCGCGGAACCCGTAACGACCAGACGTCGGTCGGCTACCCGACATAGACAGGCTTGTCTATCGGTCGGATGCTTGAGACATGAGCTAGCTCCCGGGAAAGCCGGGCCCACATAAGTAGGAAGTGGTTTCCCAACGTGTGGGGGCAGTGTGCACAACACCATGGGCCACCGCTGTGGAACATGTGCGTGCCAGTCTGTGCCACCCTCGTGGCGCGGGCCTGCTAGATGTGCATACGCCCTTGCCCCAGGGTTACAGTCGGTGTGCGACCGTCGGGTGTGTCGCGCAAGTATGTATCTGAGTCCGGGCGGGTGAGGGGGGAGGCTGCCTGAGGTGATATGAGTGGCCTGGGCGGACTTCGGTCCTAGTGTGTGTAATACGTCTACGAGTTGCTATGAGTCGTTGTGTGTGTAATACGTCTACGAGTTGCTATGAGTCTTTGTGTGTGTAATACGGCTACGAGTTGCTGTGAACGCAGTCTTCGACCATCTGAGCCCCCCCCCCGGGCAAGGCCCGACCCCGCCGCCGTCCCCCACCCACCCGCCCG